GGTCACAGAAGTGGCTTCTGAGTTTTGGCCTGTCTTTGTTCCTGGCTATAACATGGGACTTTGTAAACACAGCAGTTGCTATTGTGCTCCAGAACTCTGAAGCACTTCAAATTACCATCACAGCGTTTGGTTGGCTCATGAAAAACATCCTTGATGCTGCCTTAGTGATTTCTCTCACTCATTACATCCCACCAAGCAAGCCCAGTAAGTCCTTTCTACTATACAGCTTTACTGTGGTTGTGTACAGCATTAATTACTTGTCACAGTTTGCCTACTGCTCAGTGCTTGCCGTGTTTAAGATCAGCCTTGTGGCGAATAAATCGCAGTTCTGGTCCATGATAGATATCCTCCTGACCGTTGCCACATCCCGCTACAACAAGACTGTCTACGATTCTCTCTCCACTAAACTGTACAAATCTGACAAGGACATTGTTACCTCTGTGTATAATCCTCTAGATCTGCACCTGCAGCCAGTTGACTCAAATGGGGAGTCAGATTAAAACTCTGTGTGCAGAATACATTGAACTGTACTTTACTTCAGCTAAAGTAAATATGATTGTAGCAATTGCCATATAGTAATATGTATGTAATGATTCTGTGTTCAGGTAGGAGATAACAATATAACAGTTTGTGTACGATGTATACTTGGCTAAGAAAATATGACTCATAGAAATTATCAATCCACAACTCTAAACATGACTGGGGACAATTTACTACATAAGTTGCAAACTTTTCTTAAACAAACATTGAATAGCTGAGAAATATACTACTATTATCATATGATGAAATATACTAGTATTATATATTAGATTAAATAGTCAAACTTGAATGTTTGTATGTAATGATATATTGTGAAAAGGATCTAGCTGGGCAATTTGGTAGCAAGGCAAAAGCAAGCAGTTATAGTAAGTTGTCTTGAATCTTTACGACTGTTCATGACATGTGGTAAAAAATACCTGTATGATGCTTAAGTTACTGCTTACACTAAACAACTAACTAGTGCAATACATAAATTCCATGTGTTCACAAGAAACTGAGGAATAAAAGCATCAATTGTGGATCTCCTTTCAATGCCTTCCTTGAAAAGTTACTTGCAAGGTAATTACGACTCTTTTGCGAGGTCAATAGTTTAATATAAAACAGTAATTCTGACTGGTGGTAGTGGTATGTAACTAGGACGTATCCATTTTATCTGTCCACTAGAATCAATGATGCTGGATATACTAGTACCTTGTTCCCCTGGTATCCTACCATTACCAAGTCCTTGGCAAGATTCAAAAGGAGTGGAGTGATATATATATGCATCAGTGTCAGTGGGGTACTTTAAAGATTGCATGAAACCAATGACAATGAAATGCATGTACAACAGGTCCTGAAAATAGTCAAACATTACAGATTTAGGCATTATTCAATTAACAAAGGCAACATTGAACTTTGCAAATTACGTAATACCCTACCAGTTTAAACCAAAAATACACTCTTCGAAGTTAGGGAATATCGAATCTGCAAATTACCCTACCAGTTCTTGATTTAACCAGCCAGCAGTCAATTCAATTAAATGCTGACAGTGACAACGCGACAAGCATGGCAGCCACTTCAATTGTTGTCACATTAATAATGTATTGCTTGCTTCTCAAAAGAACATTTTTCACAAGCCATGGTAACAGTTCATGAATTTGCCTAGCCTGGAAGCTTGCCAGGTTTCATAATGCACTTCCCCAAAGTTAGCTAATCCATGGTAATGAACCATGAAAAGTGAAAGGGGGAACTTTCCAATTGTTCCATTGTTTCACATATGCACAGAAGCCATAGGCCAGGTTGTGTCTGTGTTACTAACTACTAGTACTGTTGTTTCTGTGTATCACTTCCTCCTGACTACTTCACTACATTTTCACAGCTGCAGGCTAGACTCTGGGTGAGTAAACTCATTTTAGCAGTATCTAACTTGTCAGGAAGGACAAATTTTGAACTTCTATCATCTTTTTTTTGACAGTCATTAGTTATGTTAAACACAGTGACATATTTAGTTACATATGATGAGTTGATGATGATACATCAAAACTTTTTTGCCTGTAGGGCTGATTCCAAGGCTGAAGCTCAAGACTCTCTGCCGAGCTATATTCAGCTGCCGTCCTGGTTGTGTGACTACCAACTTACTTAGTGTCTTGGTAACTAAACAATATAGAATATACTGTGTTACACAAATCCAATTCAGCTTGCTGTAGTGTATGGTGATGAGTAAGATGACAGGATTTTTCTTGTGCTTTCTGGTGCCACCGTGGCCTTACTTGGTATGCTTTTCAGTCGAAAAAACTGGAATACGGCCAAGTCTAAAAGAAAGGCTTCCACAAAGATAACAAGCTTCAGTTTCAGGGGAAGTACCAATCCTTGGAGGAAGTCCTGGCTTAGGATTACTCGTCCAACTGTAACACTAAGAATAAAGTAGACTTTTTCTCATACAAATTTCCAAAAAGTAACTGACAAATTAAAACCTCCAATATCTGAGAAATCCTGGACAAAGAGCAGTCTGTTTGATCATTTCTAAATGAAGATCTGAATGGCTTTTTAAGTCACTAATGCTTTTGTTAGTCTATGACTGACTGTAGATATGGTCACATTTGACTACATGCATATGTTTGCAATCACTACTCAAGTCAAGACACATGGTAACATTAAAAAGCAGCAAATATACAACTAACATGACAAAATCGTACAATCAACCGTTTCCAAATTCCAATGATCTATTTTTCTCTGTCAGTCTTCCGTCTCAGATCAGATAGGCACCATGCATGCAGTGGTTGGAAAGGCTGGCCTGCTGTGCTACTACCTGCTCCTCCTGGTCCACCTGTGTGTCATCTGCCTCAGTGCCTACCGCAACGTCATCAATTTCCAGGTCACCTGGTGTAAAGCTCACAACAGCCTGCCAACCATCTGTACAAACTTCAGCAACACTCAGCTCGGACCTCCCTTCTTAGTGCCAAAGCTGAAGGTCAGCATATCTGTGGTCAACACAGTCATCCTTCTCGTGCTGATCGCAACACAGGGCAGGTTTCTGGGCTTCAAGAAGTCATTCTTGAGATGTGCATCTAAGAAATGGTTCTTGAGTTTTCTAACATCGTTCCTTGTCGCTTTTGCATGGGATGTGATGAACATTTCAATTGGCTTTTCTCAAAAAAGTGCCAATCCTATCGCCGAATCAGCCCTTGGCTGGATGTTCAAAGATGTGACCGATGCAGTCCTGGTCATTTCTCTCACTCACCACATCCCACCCAGCAAAGGGGACAAGATGTTCTACATATACTTCTTGAGTCTGGCATTGTATGCTCTCAACTACCTGATTCAGTTTGCCTACTGCTCAGTCCTGGCTGTGTTCAAGCTGAGCGTCCTAGCCACAAATGTGTCCTCCAACTACAGCGAACTGCTGTCAGCTGTGGACATCTTGCTTGTGATAGGCACGTCAGGTTACAACAAGATGTTATGGGATTTCTTCTCTACTAAACTGTACAAACCCAACAAGGACATAGTGTCTAAAGTCTACTATCCTCTCATTGTTGTACCCAATGAGACCTATACTGATTTAGATGTAAATAATAAGGAGACAGGACATCAGTCCTAAGACTTCATAAAAATATGAATACTAAGTTAGTATATATACAGCTTGCATGTCTTCTGACTAATATCACAATGCAGAACTTAGTGTGAGCCATGTTTTCTGGTGAAAGATAAATAAATGTTCTTAGAACTCGGTGTACATACATGTATTTGCAATGCTGAAATATCTTAGTTATAGAGTGGTTAAAACTTAAAAGGCATTTCATTAGCTATAGACCGCGGTCATGCTATAGGGCATAGGCATCTATGCAGTTTCTGTGACATAGTTAAATCTATGTTTTCTAATACATGTACATAGACAGTCAACTGTATTTCACACCACAATCAATAGTAGAACACCAAGGGAGACCAAGCAAATTCTGTAACATGTTTTTACAAACTGCACTTGCTGACAAATATTGTACACATGTGTAAGGATCAATCAATATTGGTAAGATAACGAACAGAAAACATTATCAATCTTGTAAGTATGATACAATTCATAGCAATAAAACAACCTGTTTCAATTCAGTCTGTTTTTTTCGAGTCATTGAACTTTCAAATGATTAATGTGCGATCCTTGAGTCTATGACGTCACGACCAGCAAGAGGTAGGCAAAAATTATGTGACAGTTGAGCTGACAACAACAACAACAACAACAGAGTGGGTTGCTAACCAACAATCTACATTCCATGCGTTCATATAAATTATTTACCACGTCATCATGTAAACAAAAACAGAACGCGCGTATAATAATTTATCTACTGGTGTACGAAATATCAAAGGTGCAGCAAAAAATATGCACACTAATCGTCAGTATAAACACTCTCCAGCACACCGAAGGGCTCATTGCTTATTACAACAAGTAGCTAGTTTCCAGTTTTCATTCATAACGCATTCTAAAAGACTAAAAGGACCTAAAATAAGCGAATAATTACAAATATTTACTCACCTCTCTCAAACTTGAAATTCTAACGCCCGCCATATTTTGGTATTTGATCACGTGACCTCGTATGCACATGAGAAGGCATCCAAACGACAGAGTCTGCCTACAAAAAGCAGAATATCTAATGTTAATATGGCAGTAATTCCCCTTTTAGTGTATAGATCTTAAATAAGTTATTTTGATCAATATTTCTAACTTTCAATTGAGTTTCATATTGTTGACGGCTGTAGATTCTGGCACTACTTCGTCATTTTACGTTTGTTTGCCCCGAGGTCAGAGGTGTGTCCAGTCACGTGAAGTTAGTGATGTTTAGTCATAGCCACAGGATCAGATGTTTTTGACAGCAGTTCTGGGGAAGTAAGGTGATATTCCTACTTCAACTCGCTTTATTTTGTGGAAGGGAAGTGGCTATAGTGTGTGAGGGGAGCCGTGGTACGCCTGTGGTATAATTTCTGTGCGGCGTTCAACGGTTGTGTCGTTACTGGTAACTTCCTGCAAAGGCTAGGCAAGAAAAATATTTGTCCAGCAACATGAAATTATGACCAAAGTTTGTCCATTCTGAATGACGCGAGTTTTGATGGAAGATGAACGCGATCATCGCGCTGTGCCACTTCTGTGAGCTGCACGGTCCCAGCGTGCTGTTCCACACACAGGCCTTCCACTCCAGGGAGCCGCAGGTGAGAAACCCAGCCTTGTTGTTGTGTTAATTATAAGCTGGCACGACTTGGAAACAAAGCATCTTTAACGTCCTTGTGTAAACAAAGCATCTTTGGAAAGACAACAGACATTGTTTATAGACTTTAGGGAGTCATTAGAAATGTAATCTGTATTTTCTACCTTGTATTTCCAAGGAGGTTCACATATATAACTTGTTATGTAACATTTTAAGGATCCTTGTTGCCATGTTATGTCACATTTTAGGAAAAGACTTAACAGCAATTATACTTAAATGATAATGCTATAACATTATCAGTCTGATAATTTTTTTGATACATTAGAAAATGCACAGATCCTGTTGTAAATCTATTTGATGATGCAACATCTCTGTTTCTAACTCCAAGGGCCTGGATGCAGAGTCTGCTGAGGATCCCGGCTCTCTTGCATCATTCCTGTCATCAGGACGGCGTTCCCGGTCCCAGTCTGCTGCCTCCAGCACCAGCAGTGTGTCCAACACTCCCAAGAAGTCAGAAACATGTCAGGTACTACAAACATCATACTCCTACACTGTTCATGGAATTTATACACGCATGTTACATGTGCATGTTTGCTCCTTTATTGTTAGTTTGGCCAAGGACGTTGGTTTGGCTGCAGGTTAGTTGAGAACTGCCTGTCACATGTCATAACGGTTTACGAGATGTTGCCAGGCAATCCTTTGTTTAAACATTCTTCCTGCTGTGAGCTGATGAATACACCAAAATTTGT